TTTTAAAAACTGTCTTGACTTTGTATTTTTCAATTTATAGAAACCATAATTATTCTGATAATTTTTTTTTTAATTCACCATGAACTGAAACATAATTGCCCTCCCTGAATAGGGCTTTAAAGTTTATTTCTCTTCTTCCTGGGAACCCAGGATAGCACATAGACAGCAACCTCAAATGTTTTGTGACAGGTAAAAAATCCAGCAACAGAGAACATTAGGAACTATCTAAATCTGGATCACTCCATTTCTTTTGTGTATCCATGCAATTAGTTCCATAGGCTTGATCCAAGAGCAAATAAAAGCTATAGCCAAGACCCACTGATTGCTTAGTAGTTGCTAGGTAAAAAATATTAAGTGTACAGTAGAGAAATTCGACAACACCTTGAGCAGATGATCAAAACATCACCAATGACAGGCACATGGGTATCATGTGCCTCCAGCTATGATATACTGAAGACACAAAATCACTTATGACTAGATCAACTAATAAAACTAGAATAAAGATGATAAAATTATTGTAACAATATCAACTTTGCTGGAGTTGATAACTGTACTGTCGTTATTTAAGGAAATACACACTGAAGTATTTAGGGGTAAAGGGCTATAATGTATACTACTTATTTTGAAGTGGTTGAGGAAAAATATTACTTAAGAGAGAGATCAAATGATAAAACAAATGGGGTAAAATAATAGGTGAATAAGGGCATACGGGTGCACAAATTATTTTCAAATTTTAAAAAATTAATGAAAAATTATAGACAAAAACATTTAGTGCAGAGGCCTCAGGACAAAATTCTGAAGTCAGAGTTTGAGGAAGAAAGGCAGTGGAGAATTGGGAAAGAATATCTGTATGATAACAAACTTGGAATGGAATGAAGTTAAATGATTTGAAATACAGAGAAATTAAATTCTAAAATTATATTTAGGACTTATAAAATAACGTTTGAAAAATTAAAGTGCTTTACCTTAATTTAGCTGAACGCAGTATTCTGGTAAGTGAAACACAATTTCCTTCCATGATACCCTTTCCAACTGTGGGAATAATGCTTTTACGGCATGCAACATATAGTGAACATGCCAACCAGTGTATAACTTCTCCCTGGCAGGCAAAAGACAAACAGTAAAATGAATATATTATGTTAAAATGCTTGAACTCTAGAACAAGGAGAGATCTTAGAACTATCAGTTCTAATTTTCATTCTGTATGTAACAGGCCAGAGAGATAAAGATATTTGCCGGAAGTCATAAAGCTTACTTAGTTGCAGTAATGGGTATAAAACTTCTTACTCTCAGTCCTGTGTAACATGCTAAATCAGAATTAATTCAAAGATAGATTTCTCACCTATACCCTAAATCTAATATTTTTGAAAGAGTTCTCTTAAAATTTCTCTGTATTAACTTTCTCGATTTTAAAACACCAGTCATGGCCTTGATAATACTGAAGTTCCTTTCTACCATTTTAGTTTTATTTTTCTTTTTTAACCCGTTTGGCAGAGAAAGGTAAGAACAGAGTGGAAAGATGACAAGGGACTCACACATAAAAAATTAATCTTGCAAAACATAAAAGAGGCTCATTTTTGAGTTAAAAATTTGGGGAATTATTTACCCCAATCTTTAAAATAGTATATATGTCTATTTTAGTGGATATCTCAATTTACAATGCTATAAAAAAAGTGACATTTGAAAATTGAACACTTAATTCTCTAACATAGACTGGGGATATCTCCAAGCTAGAATCACTTCATGACTTCACTGCTGAACTATACGTGAAATTTAAGAGTTAGACACAAATCTCATAGCACAACATATTACTGTTCCTATTCACTGTTCCGCAGATCCTCTTTAAGATTAGACTCTAGAAGGATATAAAGATTGATAGATTTCTCGCAATAATCCAAAAGGGGTGGGCAGAAATGGGTGGCTGCCAATAAAGCTAAAACCCAGTGTTCCTACCTTAAAGTAGTGAGAAGTCTTATTTGCTCAAGGCATTAAGTGAGGCAGGTAAGCTTAAGGCTGAATATTTTTAGAAGCCTTGAGTAATAAATTATTTGGGAATAGTATCCAAGAATTATAGAGCCTTTGGATACACGCTACTAGATGAAAACAACATTAAGATAAATGTTAAGGTAAGATAAATATATTATTTATTCTAATTCCTTGATGCTAGGTCTTAGAAATACAAAGATGGTTTCTAACCTCAGGGAACTCCAAGTCTAGAGCTAAGAAGAACAGATACGATTATCTATTATTGGTCAGATATATGCTATAAGAGATGAAAACACATGTTGTGGTAAAATACAGTGTAATGAGTATGATTTTGACCAGAGTTCAGGGGGGGATACACAGAGGGAGATTTAAAATTGGTAAGTGGTAAATCACCAAAATGTAAGGGGAGTGGGGGAAAGGCAAAGGGAAAATATACACAGGGGACTGTCAGGTAGACTAGAGGGAGCGGTGGGGGCTGTAGAGAGGGGCTCTTAGGAAGCAGCAGCTATATGAAGATGCCTACTTCTAGAGCCTGCACCAAAAACAAACAAAAGAACAATGAAAAAGAAGAAAATAAAACACTGTGGATAAACACTCATGAAATCTTAATTCACACATGTGGGCTTTCTAAATCTAAAATGGAAGCGGTCCTGATCACATCTGCCTAACTGGAGATCTAGCTCTTCAATTTCCCCTGGAGTTATCGGTGAGGTTAAAGTTTTCAGGTAGAGGTGTTGTCGGAGAGTGGGCCCTCCCACAACACACACACTCAACTCCAAGTTCCCAACTCTCTGCCTTTAAATCCATCAACGAATTATTTCACTGGGTGGCGAGTCAGTGGAGCACTCGATGTTTGAGTCCAGCCCCCTTGGATCATGAAAGCCTTTGAATGTAAGGCCACTGGAGGAGCTGCTGAGATACAATCACAATTCTTCTACACTGGGCTTATGCTTGCCTTAGTATTATTACCTGGAAAACAGGTATATAATACTCCTCTGCCATGTTCACTGGGCTGTTGTGGGAACTGAATGCGAGAAGGACTGGAAAAAAAATCTAATAATGATAGCCTATATTTTATTATCTTTTTATCATATATAATGACCGCCAAATACTGTGCTAAAGTATGAGGATAATCTAAGTGTCCCCATCTGAGAGAGGGGGAACCCGGAGCCGAGAGGTAGCATCGTATGAAGACTGGCTTCAAAAGTGAGTAACCCACACTTCCGCCCCAGGGAGGCGTTAAGGGTGGGGAGAGGTTTAAATGGCTGGGCCTCCTTCGTCTGGCGCCACCACTAACCATGTGACCTTGGTCAAGTAACTTAACCTCTTTGGGGCCCAGCTTCTCATCTACGGAATGGGGAAGCACACAACGTGTTCAAGAGGTTGTAGCCAGAACGAAGTTAGATGACATATTTAAAGCGCTGGGCAGTGATGTCTTGGCACACAATTCATTTTAGCTTTGATCATTCTAGTATTTGGTTTTTAAAATAGATTTAAAGGCAGTGACATGACGTTTGCGGCGCTTGGCAGGGCAGGGGGAAGTCTGGTCTGGAGTCTATGGGACCCCTGAGTGGTGTGTGACCTTGGACAAGCCCCTCCTTTTCCGGACTTCAGTTTCCCGCCTCAAAAGAAAAAAAAAAAAAAAAGATAGAATGATCTACACTCGCCCTTCCAGCTTCGTATTCTGCAGCGCCCGGCTGGGCGGCGACCCTTCTCGGTGGGGAAACTCCCACCGCCCCATAGGGTAGGGTAGGGGCGGGGCGGAGGTGGGGCCTGGCGAGGGTCGAGCCCCGCCGTCCCACCTGCCGCCGCTCACCTCTAGGCTGTAGTTGCCCCGGATGGCGGTGAAGTCGTCCAGGGCTTCGGCCGCGCTCCCCTCGTCCAGGTTCAGCTCCTGGCACAGGGCCTGCAGCGCCTCCCCGGCCGCGGCGACCACCGTCGCCCCCTCCGCGTGGGGACTGTCCTGGAACATCCCCCTCAGGCCCTGCGGGCGGCGCGATCACAGTCCCCGAACTCCTTTCTCCCTCTTGGGCGCCCTACCCACAACTACCCGCGCCAAAGCGCGCGAAAACCGGCAGTTTTAGAGCGACGTCTCTACGATAGTCTGCATCCGCGTTCTAGTCGAAAAAGTCCGTCTCTCCTCCAGGGCCCCCAGCGGTCCCTCTCAGGAAATGTGATTAGAAGATGGACCTCAGGTCCTGAAGAAAAACCTGGACTTGGCACTCGGCAGGCAGCTGTGGGCACAGCTGGCAGGACAAATTGGGAGCGGATGGATCAGCAGTGCGCGCGCAGAGTCTGCTGGGAGTTGTAGTCCATAGTCTACTTTGAAGCCCGCGGCTCCACGCTTGTCTCCGCCGCTCTTTGGTATGGGTAGGGCTGGGCTGTTTATTACTAGGTGGCCTCGTTCCTCGTAGAAGAAGGCCCCTCTGTCCCGCCAACGCATGGGCCTGGTTTGTCACTGCTCCGCGGCGCCAAACAGTCTTGAGACTTTACCCTTGTATTAGGGATGGAGTAGGGAACAGAAAAAAGCGGTCCCTTGACAGCGTGTGTGTGTGTGTGGGGGGAGGAATAGGAGGGAAGGGGAAGGGGGGCTTCGTTGGACTCTCCTCAGTGACTCCAGCGTCCAGTGAATGGTTTCTTGAATGACTGAAGGGTTGGTGAGGCAAGGATATTAGGAGACACCTCACCATGTCGTCTTGATCGCTAAACGAGGCTTGATCTGGGCTAAGAGAAATGCAGTAAGGGGGCCATTTCTCAGCTCCTTGGACCCTGGGAACCGTCCCAGTAAAGAGAGTCATTCCAGGCTTAGGAATGATCTGAGCATAAACCTGAGGGTGTGGAAGTGGTCTTGAAGCTTAACTTACCCTCTGCTCCACCAAAACCCCTTCTTCAGAAAAAACAGAGTGATCTTTTTTTAAGGGTAAATCAGAGCATGTCCTTCATTAAAAATTCTTCAATAGATTCGTCTTGCCTTTAAAATATCCAAACTCCTTTCTATGGCTTACAAGACCCCATGTGCTCTGGCCCCATGTCATGTGGGGCATTGTTCTCCACTCCCTTCCCAGGTATATAATAAGGTCCAGCCTCACTGCGTTGTTTTGGAACCTTGAAAATGCCAAGCTACCAAGCTAGTTCTTACCTTAAGGCCTTTGTCACATGCCTATCAAACGGCCCCAAATACTCTACACCAGATTTTTGCTTGTCTGGCTCCTCTTCATCATTCAAGTTCAACTAACTGTGGCCTTCTCAGGCCATCTCTGAGCACCGTGTCTAAAATAGCTGACCCTATCCCCCACCCCATTTGTCTTCATAGTACTTATCACTATCTGAAATTATCTTGTTTATTCACTGGCTCTTCCTACTAAAATGTGAGTTGCATAAAAGCAGGGGCCTTCCTTTCATGTTCACTATAGTCCAAAGTTTAGACTAGTGCCTGGCAGGTAGTCGGTACTCAATACTTAGCTCTTTGAAACATTACCAAGAGCCCATTGTTGCTTGGATGAGGGAAGAAGTCACCAGAGATGGAAATGGAAGACAGGTCAAGGTAGGCTGCACCTCATGCACTCCACTAAAAGCCTGGACATTTTCAGTGACAGTTTTAGTGAAAAAAGGTAATGAATGATCTGTGTTTTGAACAGGGTCCTCTGGTTGCAGTATGACCCATGGATTGGGTAGGGTAGAGACGAGGTATGGAGAGGGCAGTGGGCTGGTCCAGCATACTAAGGAGCCAATTTGGAGACAGGCCTCTGGCTTAGAACTGAAGGGAACCCTGCTGAACAGTGAGGACCCCCTGGAACAAATTTCTATCTGGGCCAAGAGGGTGAAAGGTGATGCTGTTAACTGTATATAATGAGAGTGCAAGCAGAGGGCTCAGACCTAATTCTAGAACTGTTGTGTTTAGGATGCTTGCAGGAAGTTTAAGGGGAGGATATTGGACCCTGGAAGGTGGCCCTTTGGAACTAGGGAACCAGCTGCAAGCTGGGTCTCAAATGAGTAAAAACTCACACTTCGCCAAAAAACTCAAACCAAACTACCCATGTGACACTTCCAACGTTGCTTCCTTCGGGAAGCTACTGCAGTTGACTTCAGGACCATCTCATTGTTCTCTTGTCACATAGTGTCTGCACAGAGACCCTCCTCCCCTGAGTTTTTACTTATTTAGGAATGGTTATGGGCAGTTGTAGGGAACTCGCTCTCCAGTGCCAAGGGGTTTATAACAGGGGTTATCATCCCTCCTCCTAACTTGCTTTCCTGACAGCAAAGAGGTGTCAGGATTAGTGGAGGTGGGAGAGATCAAAGTCCTCCTGTAGTGGCTCATTTGTTTGCTAATAAACCTACTGTACTTATTTAAGAGAGAGCTGGAGGAGCAGGGACACAGCCTAGACAGGAAGATATGGGAATATTCATGAAGCTAAGGGAGCAGGTTCATATCAGGGAGTGTGATGGCACGAGAAGAGACTTAAGGGGAGAACCTTTAGGAACACCAACATTTCAGGGATGGGCAGAATTTGGGGAGTGAATAAAACAACTGGCCAGAGAGGTATAAAAACAAGAAGCAGTATCTCAGAGGCCAGGAAATAAGTCCAACACTGCAGAGAATTCAAATAGGATGAGGAATTCAAAGACCTCATATATTAACATTCATTTATTTTTAGTGACCTTTGCCAGAGCAGTTTTCTTTAGCCCACTAGGGGTGGAAGCCATATTACTATGGCCAAGAGGCTAATGGGAGAAAGGTCAGAAAGTTGAAGTAGGAAGTAAGAACTTCTCTTTAAGAAGTTTGGTGGGGCCGGCCGAATGGCTCAGTTGGCTTAAGAGCATAAGCTCTGAGCAACAGAGCCACCAGTTCGATTCCCACATGGGCCAGTGACGCTGCGCATGAGCTGAGCTGTCGCTCAGCTGCCAACAGGTGGCAGGATGGCTCAGCTGGTGTAACAACAAGATTGCTTATTCAATGGTGGGCTATGCCCACCTGCAACTAAGACTGAACTTGGCACCTTGAGCTGAGCTGCCGCCCGGATGGCTCAGTGGATATGGGCGTGCGCTCTTAATAAGGCTGCTGGTTCAACTCCTGTATGGAATGGTGGCTACGCCCACCAGCAACTAAGATTGAACACAGCACCTTGAGCTGAGCGGCCACAAGCTGCCGACTGGAAGCCAGATAGCAACTGGTGCCCTCCACAACAGATTGAAGAACAGCAACTTGGCTGGTCCCTTTCCCCAATTCCCCAACACTGTTCCCCTCCCCACAATTTCCCAATAAAATCTTTAAAAAAAAAAAAAAGTTCGGTGACGGAGAGGCAAAGGGAAGGATATTTTCTAGGATAGGGGAAACACAAGCATTTGACTAATCGGACAGGAACAGACAGAGAGAGACTGAAGATTAAAAAAAAAAAAATCATTGATGTGACCAGGCCCCGGAAAAAAATGGCCTAGCCAGGAATCCAGCATCTGGCCTTCCTCTCCATAACTCCTGTCTAGAAGGTGATCGATCACCTTACATTTAGATTAAACAGACCTGCTAGGTGCTCTGCTGAGTGGAAAATAGAGCAACTTGCAATAGGGAGTTGAGAGTGGTAAAGGTTTAGAACAATCGTTGGGAAATATTACTGGATCTGTCAAATGCAAACATCAGGGTTGGAATTTTTTGAGGAAAAATGGAGTAAAAGTAAGTCTTCTGCATGCAATCCTGGCTTTCATAGTGGGTCCTGGACAAGATCGCAAGAGCTTAGAAGCCTCTGGTTTTTTGCCTTTGCCATAATCAATCTTTTTTTTTTTTTAATCCATATTTGAACTGCAGAGGGTGATTCTGGTCCTGAAAAGAAACCAATATAAAAGGAAACAGCTGTCAGGGATTATAAACCAACAAAACCAGGGACTCTTTGCCCCATTTTTCATCTCTCTAAAGAGATGGTTTGGTTTTCAGTGAGTTGCTGTATGTATACTATAGCCCATTTCTCCTCTGCTATTGGATTTGACCCTCCTGATTCTTTTCCCACTTCATGCATACTAACTCTTATAATAAATCATTTCTTTATTCCACAAATGTTTACAGAATGCCTGCTGTGTGCAAGATACTGATTCTTCCTTTGCTGTTACTTTCAGATCATCCAGATACAAACTGAGTGGCATTACTGGCTTGAAAATGATCCAAGACAATAGAAACACCTCTCAACAAACAAACAAAAACTGAGGAACATTATTAAACATTATTCTTTTTTCTTCTTTTCGGGGCTGAATCTGGACTATAACTTGGAATTTCAGTAAGTCATATCCTGTCTATGTAAAGTCTTGCATTTTCATCTTCTCTTTTTTTTTAAACATTTTATTGGGAAATTGGGGGAGGGGAACAGTGTTGGGAAATTGAGGAAGGGGAACAGACAAGTTGTTGTCCTTTTGTTCTTCAGTCTAGTTGTGGAGGACGCCGCTTCACTGGCCCATGCTGGTATTATCATTGCGCTCTTCCCGGCTGAGGCAGTCGGTCACTGGCCATTGGACTCATGTTGGCTCACGGCAGCTCACCACAGCTCACAGCAGCCCAGCTCCAGGTCAAGCTGTTGTTCACAATGTTAGCTGTAGAGGGCGCAGCTTACTGGCACATGTGGGAATTGAACCAACAGCCCTGTTGTTCAGAGCTTGCACCCTTACCAACTGAGCCACACGGCTGGCCCCACATCTCTTAACTCTTGATTCACCTGATTTGTCACCCTTTACATCCAGTCAATCACTTACTTCTATGACTTTTCCTTTTGCCATGTTGTCATTCTCAGACTGTCCTGAATTGAATTATTAGAAAGTATAAGTGTTGGAAATGAAGCCAGGATAAAATACTCTTTAGTTCCCTTATTTCCTTTGTGAAATAAAGCAGATTTAAGCAGTGCTGTTTTTTCCCCCCTCTTTTGGACAGTACCTGAACTATGTCATTGGTTTTCAGTAAATAATACTGCCACATTCACCATAAAAACCCAGTCCATGCTGTCCTCTTTGTTATTGCTGACACCCCGTTCCTTCATCCCCTACACTAAATCTTGTGGATTCCTCCTCCATCAGGTTTCTAGCTATCTTAACATTTTATATTTTCTCTTCCAACCTCTTTTATATTTAGTTACTAGTCTAGTTTTTCTCAAGTAGCATTTCTAGCATGTCCCTTTCTCAGAACTCTTCAAGGGTTCACTATTAGCAGTTCAATCAAATTTAGGCAGCTTAGCATTGAAGACACATCTGTCAGACCCATCCTCACTTGCGTGCTTTCTGTTTTTCTTTTGGCCCTATTTTTTATCAGG